GCCTCTGCCTCCCGAGTGCTGGGATTAAAGGTGTGCACCACCACCGTCCGGCTCAGTTTATACTCTTAAGAGGAGTCGCCAGACAAGCCACACGTGGCAAACCATGTTTTTCCATAGAGGCATACATAGTAAGCAAATGTCTATAGCCAGTTGTGAGGACTGATCTGAAGCAAACTACCCACTATGCCTGGGAGGGCCATGAAAGCATTGTCCAAGAACAATTCTGTGTTTTTAATAAACTGAGGTCACAAGACTCTTGTCTTGGCTTCTTAGAGATTTCTCACAAGCACTCAGGACCCTTCTCACACAGCTCCATTCTTGGACTGTGTTCCGACAGTATCCGTATTTCAATATTTTACTGTGTGCACGTATATTGCTCTTTTTCTGTCCCCCCCCCCCCATTGATGGCGATCCAATCCAAGCCCTAGGAGACTGGGCAAGAGTTTTATCCTTGCATTGGATGGACCTTTAGTCTTTTTTTGTTTGTTTGTTTGTTTGTTTGTTTGTTTGTTTGTTTGTTTGTTTGAGACAGGGTTTCTCTGTGTAGTCCTGGCTGTCCTGGAACTCTCTCTCTGTAGACCAGGCTGGCCTCTGTCTCCCGAGCACTGGGATTAAAGGCATGTGCTATCACCGCCCGGCTCTCTTTCTTTTTAAAAAGTATTTATTCTTTGTGTGTGTGCACTTGCGTGCGCCTGTGTGTGTGTTTGCACGTAAATACAGTCCTCTCAGAGGTCAGAAGAGGGTGTGAGGTCCCATGGAGCTGGAGTTATGGATGGTTGTGAGCGGCCATGTGGGTGCTGGGAACTGAACCTGGCTTCGCTTAACCACTGAACCATCTCTCCAGCCCCATTCAGGCTAGTCTTAAAGTCACAGTGTAGCCCAGGCTGGCCTTGAACTTTACATCTCCCTGCCTCAGCTTCCTCAGTAATTGGGATCACAGATCTGCTGCCCCAGACCCAGCTGGTCCCCCGCAGGGGCGTTCAGACGGTGGAAGGGCTGGGCTCTGAACCCCGTTGATGCTCACAGGTCTTTGGCTGAGCGACTGGCCAGGGTGGGGCCCCCTGAAAGTGAGCCGGCTCGGGAAGCTTCAGCCATGGCTCTGGACCGTGTGACCCGACTCTGCCATCATGTCCTTGCCGAATTGTTATTCCAGGAACTACAGGTGAGTGAGACCGGGGACTGGGGTGGGGCTGTGCCAGGATGGATTGGCATCACCCCCCATGACTCAGTGTTCGGGGAAACAGAGGGCTGGGGGTGAATGCCATGTTGGAACTGTTTCGAGGGGGAGAAGGGGGGCATAGGAAGGAAGAGGTGGGAGGATGTGGCTGAGAGGGACGGGCAGAGAGATGCCAGCCAGAGAGGGCTTATTCCCTCCTGAGGTCCCCCAAAGTCATGCCCCTCCATGCCCCCAGAGCCTCCTCCAGCTACCGCGGGCCTCCTTAAATGCCGTGAGGGGGTGAGGTAATAAGTGGGTTAGGTCCTGTGTGGACCGCATGGAGGCAAAAAGCCATTCAGTAGCAGTATAAAGGGACCCTACGTACCCTTGCTCTGCTCAGAATCCACCCTAGACTCCCAGATCGCAGACAGAAAAAGCCAGAAGCCCTGCTGTGCCCCCAGGCTCCTCAGTCAGCTATTCTGAAACCTCTGAGTCTCCGCACACGCTTTCCTGCCTCTGGGCCCCAACCTTGCGGTTTCCTCTGCTCGGATGCTCCTCCTCCAATAGCCCGGGTCCCTCCTCGCTTCTTTCAAATCTTTTTGTTTGTTTTTCATTTGGTTTTTCATGACAGAGTTTCTCTGTGAAGTCCTAACTGTGCTGGAACTCTTTCTGTAGCCCAGGCTGGCCTCAAACTCACAGAGATCCACCTGGCTCTGCCTCCCCAGTGCTGAGGTTAAAGGTGTGCGCCACCACTGCCCAGCTTCTTTCATTCTTAGGGAGATGTTCCTGATTATTCCTTGGGCTTGAGAGATGGCTCAGTGGTTTAGAGCACTGTCTGTTCAGAGAACCTGAGTTCAACTTCCAGCACCCACATGGCAGCTTTCCAGTTCCAGGAGATCCAACACTCTCACACAAACAAATGTTCACATAAAAAAAAATAAATAAATAAAATATTTTTAAAAATACAGTACCTTTGGCCAGCCAGCTGTGGTGGCATGTGCTTTTAATCCCAGCATTCTGGAGGCAGCGTGAGGCCAGGCTAGTCTACAAAGTGAGTTCCAGGGCAGCCAGACTCACAGAGTGAGACCCCATCTCAATAAAACAAAATAAAATGCAACAGGACAGTGACTTGACCCAGACAGATAGGGGGCCAGTACACACCTCTACTTCCAGCTACTAGGAAAGCTGAGGCAGGAGGATCCCTTGAGCCTAGGAGTTCAGAGTCAACATGTCCAAAGGAGCTCTACCCCATCAGTTGCCGGAAGAGGAAGAATAGGGGTCCTGGAGAATTCCAGTATTCTCTCCCAAAGCACTCACTGCAGCAGGATATGCCAGAGCTTTGCTTTCCTGACCCTTTAGGAGCTGGAGACCAAGCTCAGGGCTCCCAACACTGGGCAGGGCTCTACCACTGAGCCACACCCCAGCCCCTCACTGGGGGACTCTAGGCAGGGGCTCTACCACTGAGCCACACCCCAGCCCCTCACTGGGGGATTCTAGGCAGGGGCTCTACCACTGAGCCACACCCCAGCCCCTCACTGGGGGA